AATTTTTTGTTCATTTAGAATAACTATTTTATTTATTTATTTATTATATATTATATATATATATATAATAAACAACATTTAGTTGGATAATTTTACATTTTGTGAAATATTTAACATAAGTAAACTATTAGTGACCTAGATACAGCAAATAAATCAATATCTTTCAGTCATGGCTGTGTGCACCACCTCACTAATATGAGCCAATCAAATAAGAGGTCCCAGTTACACTTTTGTGCCCAAATGAAGATCCATCTTAGTTTCTGGGCCCCACTGTAGTGGCATGTGTTGCTTTGTTAATGTCTATACATGCTACTGTGATAAATCCTTTAATATATCTTAAAGATATACTGGATTTTTCTGTGAATGTGTTATTTGGTTTACCAAATTTTATTTGAATTTACATGAAAATAAAACATCAACATTTATTATGTTTATTTTGTTCAGAAGATACTGATTTTGTTATATAGCCTTATTGTTAAATAAATAAAAAAATGACCCATGGACTAATAATCTGGAACTGTTGTATAAATCTCTAATTTAAAAAAAAATGTTATGTGTCAAGGACAGTGTTGTGGCTAAAAACAAGACAGCACATAGTACTTTTCCATAAATGTTTATTCTGAAAATATATAAACGTTTACTTTAAAGAATCAGGATTTCATAGACATCATTGACAACTGATATCAGAGATGGACACTGCAGCATTTATTGCATATTCACAACTGTAAAACCTTGGTTAAATATCAGCATGTACAGGAATTGCTTATTATCCACCAATCAAGAGCTGCAGGTCCCCTGAATCCATTAAATAAACAATCACAGTAAAAACGTTAATATCGCAGGTTAAAAATGATTGCATACATACATTTTGGCACTTGAATTCAAGTTAAAACACTTGTTTGATTTGGCATGCAAACACGTTTGAGGTCTCGCCAGCATTTGTTTCTGAAATAAATGCCTGATTGTAACTGGGGGACATGGTGAAAACTGAACTTATTTGAAGGTTGCAATGTTAGTAGCAGGTAAACTATTTGCTTGAGCTCAACAAAGCATGTATGTGCAACTTGTATATGCAAAATTAATACTTCTGTGGTGAATTATCAATAGTGTTAGAGAGAAAAAATGACCAGCATTCATTAGCATTCTGGTAATACTATCACACATTTACAGGTATTCATTATAATCTTCACCTTCTAGACTTCACTTTTACCTTCGAGCCATGATCAAATAGGATAATTTTCTTAAAAGCAAAATATCCAATCATATTTACATTTATTCCAACAAATTAATCACACTTTTGCGTCACCTCCACTCTTTGGTTACACAACCACCCTGTGATTTTTTAGTGAGGCAAAACTCACAATAATTGCATTGCTTGTGCAGTAAAATAATGGGGGCAAACCTTAAATACATTACTTGTAAATGTATTGCCATATTTTGAGGGATATATGTCCACCAGCGATGAGATCTAGATTACACTTGACAGCAGTCGATGTAGTATTTATTAGGTATTGTCACCCAGTGGCAATAAGCAGAAGTGGCACAGGCTAGATTCACTGTACAGTTGAACACTAGTACAGTTTACTGTAATGAATCAATAGAAACAGCATTGATTTCGTTCACCTTCTCTGAACAGGCAATTTAGTTGGGAGTCAGATGTTTCAGAGTGTTCTTTTATAAAGTTTTTATTCCTCAATGCTGTCTTTCATTGAATTTGAAGGGTGTCACTCTCATTTAGACCAAAACGGGTCTTGTAATTGTCAAAGAGAGACTTGAGGGACCTGATGTACATGGCGTGGTACATATCTATGACGTCCTGACTCGGCTCCTCGATTTTTGGAACTGTGATGGGTTCACCAACTGGAGAAAAAAGACACATTAAAAAACTTAATTCACAGAACATTAAACTCCAGTTAAACCAAGATCATGTCAACAAATGACTAAATTTCAACCATTAATGGGGTTCTGATGTCAGCAAATATCGACCGTAAACTGAAAGAGCGGTTCTATCAACATAGAGACTGTCCTTGAACTGAATTTAACTATATTTACGTTGTCTCATTAGAACCCATGTAAACAGCTTTGTGCCAGTTTAAAGCTAGTAGGATTCAAATACACATATATAGGATTTAAAGGTTATAAACAAATTTAAATATATTTAAATATCCGCATGAAACCTGTAAATCATATATCATATAAAGTTTTAATATATCATGTTTTAAAAACATCATATTTATTATTTACATATATTTATCATATTATTATATTTATTTTTGATAAAATAAATAAATTATAATAATTTAATTAAGTAAATAAATGTATGTATTAAACAATTTATTACACGTGTGCATATACGTATATATAAATATATATTTAAATTATTATTTATTTATTTTATCAATATTATATTTTATTTACTTTATCAAAATCTATATATACACATATACATACATATTTAATACATTATAATAATGTTTATCGTACTTTCTTTTCTTTATCAAACTCTAATATGAAAATGCTAACAAGAAAAGTCTTGATTATCTAGAAGAAAATATGGCCATAACTCATCAAACATGGCATTACTCACCAACAGTAGCGATGGGTTTGCAATATGGTACAAGACCCCAGGACTCAGGGAAGAACAGTCCACA